CAGGGAGCCCGATGCGGGACTCGATCCAGGGACTCCAGGATCATGACCTGAGCCAAAGGCAGTCGCTTAACCAACTGAGCCACCCAGGCGCCCCTGGTTCATTAACTTCTAAGCCTGTTACTGCTTCCAGGTTTGTTTCAGCAACAAGTGGAAATGCTCATTCTCTCTGCAAAGCCCTTGCCTAGCCTCAGTACCTTCCCTGACATACTCACCCGTGCTTCAATGTACTCTATTCTCCGTTCGAGGGCTGTCAATTTCTCGTTTAGTGTTGCAAGTCTTGAACGACAAGACATATCTGGTAAAAGGAGACTGATGTTCAGGATTAATGTCATTCCAAATACAAACACACACACAGCCCCTAACTGATGAAGAGGAATGATACATCATGCAGAGCACAAGCGGGAGCAGGTGAGCAAAGCAAGGGAATGGAGAAGAAGTGAGAATTATATTAGGAGCACATATGCTTAGAATGGATCTGCTGAACTTCCTACCAACGGTGGTAGGCAGAGAATAACGACCTCCAAAGATGTCCATGCCCTAATCCCTGAAGTTGTAAGTATGTATCCTACATGACAAAAGGGACTTTTCAGATGTGATTCAGGTTAAGGACCTTGAGATCCTGGATTATCTAATCACAAATCCATAAATGTAGGGAGAGACAGACCGAGGAAAGGTAGAGGAAGAAGAAGAAGAGATTCAAAGTGTGTGAGGGGAACTCAACCTGCTATGGCTGGCTTTGAAGATGGAGGAAGGAGGCCATGAGCCAAAAGATGCCAGAGACACTGAGAAGCTGGAACAGCTCTCAGCTGACAGCCAGCAAGGAAACAGATTTCAGTCCTACAGCCACAAGAAACCAAATTCTGCCACCAACCCAATGAGCAAGGAAACAGATCCTCTCCTAAAGTCTCCAGAAAGGAAGGCAGCCCTGCTGACACCTTGATTTTAGCCCAGTGATGTTGGACTTCCAAACCACACAACTATAAAATAATAAACTTATATGACAAAAGCGGCTACATTTATGGTAATTTGTTATGGCAGCAATAGAAAACACACCAAAACTCTACAGACGGCTATTTGCTAATAGACAAACCAAGAGTTTCAAGAGAGGGGAGGTGACAAGAGGAAGAAAATAATCTCAACAGGGAAGAAAAACAGAGGCCACGAAAGCAGGAGAGGAGGGAAGGCGTCCATGTTTCTGAGCTCACAGAAGCCTCATCATTGCTTTTGCTCTAGGAAGGTACTTAATGTGTCATCAATATCTGCGCAGGCACGTCAGCATGAGAGAAAACTTGGGAGAACATCAAATACCCTGTGGAGCCCACATTCCATCTGTGGAAAACAGCAAAATTTCTTTTCTTCCTTTTCCTTTTCCAACCTTCTTTCACCACTCAGCCAAAATGAAACCCAGATCTCCCCTAAACTAATACCTTTTCCTCTGCAAACTTCTCTAAGAGAAACCACTTGACTACTCTTTCCCTAACCATTCTGAACAGGAGAAAAATGTTTCTGGGCATGCTCAAGATTTCCTATTACTTCCTTCAATACCGTTGTTTGGTCATCCTCAACAACCTTCACTTTTTAAGTCTAAAATATCCTTTCTCCGAGACACTCTCCCACTCACAATGATTTAACACTTAGCTCACAACTTTTCATCTCTTCCCTGTTATGCAAAAGCATGTCCACATCCATTTTGACAAATCCTCTTGCCTCAACTTTCACTTCTCCATGTCTGCATCTTATTCATCTTGCCTTTCTAAACATTCTCCTTCAAGGCTCAGTTCAAATTGGACCTCTGAGAGGTCTCTGCCAGAGGCATATAATTCTGCTGTACATTTATGGTTGAATTTCTAGTTTATAAATTACTTATGTGATTCGTCTTAGGTTATCATTTCTCCCTTTGGATACAGATTTAACAAACAAGAATGTTCACCACTATTACTTAGGAATGGTTTCATAAAGTATGGTATATTTATGAAAGACTATTAAAATGGCCATTAAAAATTACAAGTTTGCAGGGCACCTGGGTGGCTCAGTCACTAAGCGTCTTCCTTCGGCTCGGGTCATGATCCCAGGGTTCTGGGATCGAGCCCCACATCGAGCCCCATATCGGGCTCCCTGCTCTGTGGGAAGCCTGCTTCTCCCTCTCCCACTCCCCCTGCTTGTGTTCCCTCTCTCGCTGTGTCTCTCTCTGTCAAACAAATAAATAAAATCTTTAAAAAGAAAAAAACAAAAAACAAAAAATAAGGCATCTTTTTAACTAATTAAAAAAACAAAATTACAAGTTTGAATATTTAACATAGGAAATGTTCCTGCTACCTAGACAAATGTACTTATGTACTTGTAATTTATCTTTTTTTTTACATGTTTGTTACGCCACTAGAATGAGTTAATCAAAGCCCACTTCACTGGGCTAAAATCAATTACTCAAATACTGCCTCTTATTAATTTTTATAACAAGTATCTTGTCTGGCATAGAGATGATTTTCAGAAAAAAATTATGGATTCTGGTATGTTAGTGAAACAAAAAATTGGCTCTAGTGTGACTCCACTAATTCTACAAGGGGAAGCCAAGGCTCATCTTGGATAACTGATGGGACAAAACAATAGCACAGCTGAGTTCGGAGCCCAGTTCCCTTCTGCCCAGGATGCTACTCTCCCACCACACACCCCGCTACCACCTTTATGAACCTCTGGAGTTGTAGTCTATTCCCCACATCTCTTAAAATCTGCTTATAGCTCAACTCTTCCACTTTCCGGTTCCTTTTTTTCTTTTTGCCATACTAGATCCTCTCCCACCCACCCATCTTCACTGCTACTCTTCATTATTTTTTAAAAATAGCTTTACTGGGCGCCTGGGTGGCTCAGTTGGTTAAGCGACTGCCTTCGGCTCAGGTCATGATCC